GGTAACGTGGTCATGGCAAATGGAGCTGTCTGCAAGGTTGTTGGAATCATGTCCATAAAGGTTCGGACACATGATGGTTCATTCTGTACCGTGAATGATGTCAGGCATGTTCCACGAATGACAAAGAACCTGATCTCCTTGAGTCTACTCGACAACAAGGGTTTCAGCTTCAAAGGAAAATGTGGAGTTGTGTATTTCTGCAAAGGTTCGAGGAAGGTACTGAAGGGCGTGAAGCGTGGGACCTTGTATGCATTACAAGGGTCTGTGTTGTCTGGTTCTGCTGCAGTTGCATCGTCTCAGGTTCAACAGGAAGATATGACCACTCTCTGGCACATGAGACTGGGGCATATGAGTGAACGGGGGATGCAAGTTTTATCGAAGAGGGATCTTCTTTGCGGGCACAAGGTGCAGAATTTGGAATTCTGTGAGCATTGTGTGTTTGGGAAGCTACATTGCAGCAAGTTTCCCAAGAAGGGTATCCACCGGACGAAGGGGATACTGGATTACCTCCACTCCGACTGTTGGGGTTCTTCACGAGTTGAATCCATTGGAGGCAGCATGTATTTTCTGTCTATTATTGATGATTATTCGAGATTTACTTGGATTTTCATGATGAAGCAGAAAAGTGAGGCTTTCATGAAGTTCAAGCAGTGGGAGACATTGGTGGAGAATCAGACTGGGAAGAAGATCAAGAAGCTGCAAACGGACAATGGTCTGGAGTTCTATAATTCTGAGTTCAACGAATTCTGCAAGGATGAAGGGATTGCCCGTCATCGGACTGTTAGAGATACACCCCAGAAGAATGGCGTTGCAGAAAGGATGAACCAGACATTGTTGGGGAGAGCACGATGCATGCTCTCTAATGCTGGACTAGAGAGAAGATTCTGGGCAGAAGCAGTGAACATGGCGTTCTTCCTGATCAACCGTGGACCTCACACAGGTATCGAGTTGAAGACTCCTTATGAGGTGTGGTATGGTAAGCCTGCTAATTACTCTTCACTGGAAGTTTTTGGGTGTCCTGTTTATTATCATGTGGATGAGGGTAAACTGAACCCAAGGGCAAAGAAGGGTGTATTTGTGGGTTACGGAGATTGAGTTAAAGGATTTCGAGTCTGGTCACCTTCTGAGCATCGAGTTATACTCAGTAGAAATGTGATATTTGATGAGAAGTCTATGTTTAACCCCATGTTGAAGGTTACTATTGTTTAAGGTAGCGGGAATGTTGATAAACAGGTGGAGCTGCAAACTCTCAAAGAGAGTGAGTTTGAGCACCAAGGTGGAGAAGATCAAAATGATGAGGATGTCTCTGCAGAGCCAGAAAGTTCAGAGTCCAGTGCACGAGCTAAACAATCTATTGCTTCCAGTAGACCGAAGAGAGCGACTGCAGGAGTACCTCCACAGAGGTATGGCTTCGAGGACATGGTGGCGTATTCAGTTCAGGTTGCTGAAGAAGTGGATGCAGGAGAACCACAGTCCTATAGAGAAGCAGTTTTGGGTGGTGAAGCTGATCAGTGGCTTGCCGCAATGGGAGATGAGATGGAATCTCATGACAGGACCCAGACTTGGGAGCTAGTCAAACGAACACAGGGAAGGAAGATTGTTACAAACAAGTGGATCTACAAGAAGAAGGAAGGAATCACTTCTAAAGAGGGCATGAAATTTAAAGCTCGGGTGGTTGCACGAGGCTTCTCGCAAAGGGAAGGAGTTGACTACAATGAGATTTTCTCACCAGTGGTCAGACATATTTCGATCACAGTGCTACAAGCAATAGTGGCACATTATGACTTGGAGCTCGAGCAGCTAGACGTGAAGACAGCTTTCCTACATGGAGAGTTGGAGGAAGAAATTTACATGACTCAGCCAGAAGGATTCGAGGTTCCGGGAAAAGAAGACTATGTTTGTAAGCTGAAGAAGTCCTTGTATGGACTTAAGCAATCTCCGAGGCAGTGGTATAAGAGATTTGACAGTTACATGCTTGAGCTGGGCTACAACAGAAGTCCATATGATTGTTGTGTATATCACAGCAAGGCAGAGGATGGTTCGATGATATATCTAGTTCTGTATGTGGATGATATGCACATAGCTGCGAGGTCAAAGTCTGATATCCAGAAGTTAAAGGGGCTTCTCAGTGCTGAGTTTGAGATGAAGGATTTGGGAGCTGCTCAGAAGATCTTGGGTATGGAGATTTACAGGGACAGGTCGAAGAAGAAGCTTTTCTTGTCACAGAAGAGCTACATCCAGAAGATACTGTCGAGGTTTGGCATGTCTTCAGCAAAGCCCTTAAATACTACTAGTGCTTCAAATGTTCATCTATCCTCAGCTTATGCACCGCAGTCAGAGGCTGAGAAGGAGTACATGTTGAGAAGGAGTACATGGTTGAAGGGACCGGTTGGTGATCTGGGTCTACATCATGATCAGGCAGTGGTGTATTGCGACAGTTTGAGTGCAATATGCTTGGCCAAGGATCAAGTCCACCATGAGAGGACTAAGCACATCGATGTGAGGTATCATTTTTTGAGGACAGAGAAGAGGATCAATGTTATTTGGGTTCGGGTTCTGGGCCTGGTCTGTAATCGTTTCCTTTGCCATATTGGATTAGGTTTAGACCCACATGGAGAAGTACTATAAATACTTCTCATACTCCTCTGTAATCTGTAATCTCCTTGATATAGTGAAACTGGCTCTCTCTCGCCCATGGACGTAACTAACACACATCGTGTTAGTGAACCACGTAAATCTTGTGTTTGTGTTTTTTCGATTCTCGCTTTCGTATTCTTGCTTTGTCGATTCCGGCGATTTCCCGTTCCGTAGCAGCGCGTTTATAACAACTGGTAACGATCCCCCCCTAGTATGTCGTGCCAACCAATCTGCTACCAGATTCAAACATCGAGGAACAAACTCAACACGAATCGATGGTGCAAGCCTGAGAAGAAGAACCATCTGCGCAATGGTAGCCCGACACATCCAAGGCCATGCTGAGGGTTCCTGATACAGCGCAATGGAAACCACCTGACGATCTGTACGGATACAGGTTGGGATGTTATCTCGGGAAGCAACCCTGATAGCATTGAGAAGACCAAAAGCTTTCGCCTGAATCGGATGTGAACAAAGGAAGGTCTCAGTCTTGCTGTCATACACGTGACCCTAAGAGTTAACAATAGTAATCCCACATGCCGCCGGACTCGAGTCTGAGATGAACGACACATCACATAACATCACTCGGGTACAGGGCGGTGGTTCAGTGTTGAAACGGGAACCCCTAGAATGAGAAGGTAACTGAGTTGGCCGGTAAGGAATCAGAGAAGGTGTTGAAACTCGAGCTTCTTCCCATTCAAGGATGTCACAGGCCGACTTAATTTCTGAAGAGGTCGGGGAAGGGGCCTTACTGTCAAAGATGAAAGCATTCCTGGATAGCCAAATATTCCACAGGAAGTAGACTATCTTCCAGATGTGTGCCTCCCCCATGGTGTCTTTCATATTGAAAAACCATGAAGCAAATGAAGCATCCACAGGCGGCACAATGACAAGAAGCCCTGATAGGTTCCAAGTTTTCGAGGCATGATGACAGTGGAAAAGACAGTGCATCACCGTTTCAGATGGCATCTCACAGATTGGACATTTCGGATTAGGAGCACATCGGCAGGTGAAAATTTGCTCCCTTGTCGCAATAGCTTTCTTAGCGCATTTCCATATGAAGAACTGCAACATGGGAGGGAGAGCGAGGGACCACATCCACTTCCAATCTTCATTATTGGGATGGCTTTGCATTTGAGGTGGATGGGTGACATGCAAATTACGTGCTTCACGAAGGACATGGTAGGCCGAGCAGGCAGTATACTCTCCATTAACAGTGTGCTTCCAAGCCCAGCAATCCCTCGATTCAGCAGGACCAATAGGGACTCGAAAGATAGCATCTGTGACATCCTAGCGCATATGTTCTAGATAGCAGCAGCCAGCAGCGTCCCAAGACCGATCAATCTGCCGAATCCAATCACTCACTCGAGAATCAGGGAGGTTTGGATCGGCCATGGAAAGGCTCGGAAGGGATGGAATCCATGGGTCAAGGTTGAAGCTAGTATCCTCTCCTAACATGATCACCTTGATAATTCCTCCTTTAATCGCCTCTTGCGTGTCACTCAAGCCATTCCACACCCAAGATCCACATTTTCCCTTTGGAGCTGCGAGAAAATTTCCATCTGGGAAGTACAAGGAGGTACATTATACAGTCGTTGAGCACCACCACGGTTTCACCACATTTTCTTTCAATTTCTTATATACGGTACATGATTTGAGGTAACTAGGATATTGGTCATTGGTCATGATGCATGTTGCAAGCAGGATATAATGTAATTAACCAAGACCGAGAAGTACGATTGGAAAACGATGCAGTATGATTTAGATCGGATCATACATACGGTTTATATTACAAGACCAAGAAGTTGGAGCAGAGATAAGAGACAAGACCAAATACTACACAATCTAGAGCAAACTATATATGTTTGGGCAGTCTAGTTCGGTACAGTCTAGACCATGCAGACTATATTGTGCTAAAAATGGATAGTTTTTTTAGTAAAATCAAACCAATAACTGGGAAAGATATATTTTTTCCTTCAAACATAAATTCCAACACTCATAAATAATTTTGATACCATCAATCCAAGTAAATAAAAAAAACTCACAAAGTCAGAGCAACGCAACTTGCACCATAATGTCATAAACATAGGGTTGAGACTTTGATCTCGTTGAGGAGTTGGAAAACTAGTGGTCGAGTGAGCTACTAATTAACATGAATTGGGAAGTGAGTTGGGTCCATGGTTTGGTTTAGTAAACTGTCGTCTAGCAGAGACTATACCAAAAAAATCAATACATCCTTTAAAATGGAGCATGGACCATACCATTCTTTACATTCTACCATAATAAATTGTACGATCCGGTTTGATTCATTAATTTTTAAACGCGACAGCCAATTACTCTGACCACCACGTGAGTCACCACATATGTTTTTTGGTAGAACCACATTATTTATTCATCAATTTTTTTTATTATTCATAAAAAAAGTACACTTACAACAACGATATTAATGTCAAATTCGCTCAAATACAATTGAGAAAGTAACAACTCTCACCAAGAGAAAGTAACAACCAATTTTATACAGTTCACTCATAAAGATGAGGAGATAGGCGAGGAGACAACACAATGTCAAGAGGAGTAGCTCGAGGGTTGGTCAGCCCGACACTCTCCGTCATATCCACTAGTTCACTCGACGGCCTCGAAAAATCGAACCCATGCAAGAGGGTAGCCAGGGTCAAGTGCATAATCTGCAGTGCGAAATTCACTCCAGGACACATCCTCCTCCCGCTGCTAAAGGGTATCAGCTCGAAGTCCTGCCCCCTCACGTCGACATCCTTATGAGTCGTGAAGAACCGGTCCGGTCGAAACTCGTCCGGGTCTGGCCAAACCCTCGGGTCGCGTTGGATCTTGTATATGTTGACGATGAGGCGAGTACCTTTAGGGACGTGGTGGCCGGCAACGGTGCAATCCTCCGTGGATTGGTGGGGCAAGGAGATCGGCCCGGCAGGGTAGAGGCGGAGGGTTTCCTTGACAATGGCTTTGAGGTAATGCAAGCTGTGGAGATCGGACTCTTGAACTCGTCGTTCTTTGCCGATGTTGTTGTCCAGCTCGATTTGGGCTCGTCTCAGGACGTCGGGATGGTTCACTAGTAAGGCGAGGAGCCAGGTCATTGTCACCATGGTTGTGTCCGACGCAGCTAACACGACGCTCTGTCATGGATTGCTAAAATTTTCAGACATCGGAATTTACATTATAATAATTAATTGCTCAGCAAAAGTATAGAACTATATAAGCGCGTGTTAGTTGCTTTGAAGCTGGTCCATATTCATGCAATTCGGTCAGAGTTAAAACCCATTTCCAATCCATTTTCCGGTTGCATATTTGACACAATTCTCCGGTGTTATTAAAGCCGAGCTGAGCCGCTCGCCCCGACCGGTAAAATCGCCACCCGGTCACAAAACCGGCTCGGAACAGTCTAAAAGTCGCTCCGGTTTTATGTAGCGGTTGACGAGCGGCCGAGGTGGTTAACCGCTCGAGCCGATTGAGCCGCTCGTCCGATTTTTGCCATTCAGTCGTTAAATTTAATTAAAAAAATTGCAAAAAAATAAAAATTGAAATAAACAAAAAATGTTGGGCTGTCAAACTAAATTCTTATTTCCATTTCACAATTTCAAAGGAAAGAGACGAGCTCTGATTAAGAAATGTCCACTATTTATACTGATAACGTTTATTAGATACCGGTTCTCTAACGATTTTTAAACAGTCTAATGTCGGTTGGATCACTAAAGTGCGACCCGTTCGCATTACTGGGTCATGCTATTGCAATTCTCATTCAATTAGCCAGCTCAATCCGGACCGAACTGCTTCCCACCACTATTGTGCTATCTACACAACTTAATCACGACAAATCCACATATCATTTATTCGGTCCACGTCCACCCATATAAATGGGCCAAACCAGCTAATTTTAACTTATTCGTCTTGTGCTCTCATGCCAACCTCGAGCAAACCAGATCATTGAGACAAGACATATAAATGAGGATGTGAAGACGAGGGAGACCTCGTCACTACGCAACCAGAAATACAGAATGGACAGCTCAATTATTGATGCCCGTTTAATGTCGATACGCTACGAAATATAAGATTGTGCAGTGCAGATATGCATGAGCTTGAGGGAAACGGTGCTGAAGATATGTAGTGTAGGTCTTATCCAAAACCCAGGAGATGATTCTGGATTTCAGAATAGGGACCTCGAAATTTTTCTTCATATTATTGTAAAAGAAAAAAAATGTTGTTAGGAATATATATTAGTAGAATAATAATAATTAGTAGGGTTCAGGGGCGGAGCTAGGATCTAGTGGTCGGGGGGGCCGGACTTTATTGTATAATATTCGTAAAAAAAAATTAAGAAAATATTTACATTGTGAGTCATAAGCTTCAAAATTTAATTATCTAGACTCCAAAATTTAATTATCTAAATTAGAAAAATATTATAAGCTCCAAAATTTCATTATCTAGTTTGAACTTTGAAATTAAAAAGTATTTGAATAAGTGCAAAAGTTAAGTGATCAATCTAAATTTTAAACAAAAATTCAACCAAAGTAGGAAAACTAAAAAAACAATGTTGCTGCAAGGATTGAACCATGGTACTAGGTATTCACAAATACCAAGCAGCTGCATTCCGTTAGACTAGACCCAAACATTGCTGCTCATTATTGCACGTTATTGTTATTCTACAATAGTTGATTTCTTCAGAATTTTCAAAATTCCCGATATTTTTACACGCGATCTCCAAAATTCTCGGGGGGGGCCGGGGCCCCCCGAGCCACAAGGTAGCTCCGCCCCTGGTAGGGTTAAGATAGTAGGGTTAGGCGGCCGTGGTGGCCGAATTGGTTAGGATTAGTTATTAGGGTTTTCCAGTATTCCCCTATAAATATGTCATTTCTATTCTCTCTTAGTCCAAGGCATCGGCCGATTCCCAATTCTATTCTATTCTTTCTCATCTAAATCCCTAATCTCAACCCTAAATTCCTATTCTCAACCCTAAATTCCTATTTGTTACAAGTAGTTATGGGTGCCGGAGATCAGTACCTAGAATCCCGAGCTAGAACGGGGTTCTTTCAAATGTCAATATTAAGAATATCATCTATTGTATTTATTATGGTAGGTTAAGATATTTATTGAGATAATTAGATGAATACAAAATAGGAAGATAAAAGATTGTCTCGTGCTATTTCGACGGTAAATAATAAGTTAGTTAACAACATAAGTTACTGATGAATTTTGACATGTAACATGCTTTAGAGTATTTTCATAATAAAAAATGAATGTTTCTCGTCATTATATATCTAAAAATATCTTTACACATTTCAAATGAGAAATTGAAGAACTAAATTGATATCATTTTAAGTCAAATATCTTAAGAAATTTAAATATGTAAATTAGATAACTAAGTTGTACTCATGATTATATATACAAAATTATCCTCCAATTTTTGAAGTAAGAGATCGAAAAAACTTAATTTTATCTGATTGTAGGTCAATATATGATAGGAAACCAAAAGATGAAGTTAGATGACTAATCATTGCTAGCCCTAGGAATCAAACCCACATCCTACAATAATTTATTTACTAATATTTTCCACTTTACTACATACAACTTTAAAAAAAAAACCAGGGTGGTAGAGAATGTTACATTTATTTATTTATTAAAAAAATCAACATTGACGTAAAGGAGTGGTTAAGTTTTGTTCACCGAAAATCTGTTAAGGAGGGACAATTAGTATAAATGATCACAATTTTTTTGAATTTTATACAGTCCCAAACTTTTATTTTGTACGATTCAGTAACACAAGTTCATTCCAAAAATTTAACAGACGGTTGATATGCCTTCTAATTTAACTTACTAGCCAGCAAATACATGTTTAGTAAGCTTTCTTATATTGAGTCTATGTAGATAATATTGGATATATGAGACAAATATTATCTCTATCTATCTGGAAATCGCGGTTTATAATAATCTCTTTTAACCATAAAAAAAATTATATCGCGGTTTAGAATTGCATAGCTTCTCCTTGATTGCGTAATTTTTTTTATGAATTTTATTTGGTTCATGTTTTCAGAATTTTATTTAAAGCTTTTAGCTTTTTCTTGTGCATCATCTGAATTAATTTAAGGTTATAATAATTTGCAACGGCTAAACCAAAATTGAAGAACCATGTAGCACTCATTTAAAAAAGGTTCGCTTATACACTTACCAGAGCGGTAGATTTGTTAATGGTGTCGGAATCTCGACCATCGATTTCCTGTCCATCGCCGACGACATTAAGAATCACGTCCATGAAATCCTTCTCCTTCTCCGCTGCACCGCCGGAATCCCTCTTCTCCTTGTGCTCCCTCAGCCACCCTCCTATCACCACATCCATCTCCGCCGCCGTCTTCCTCATCGCCTTCTCGTACCCTCCGACATCCAGCCACCGCAGAAACGGCAGCCCGTCCGCCACCACAAACCTCCCCGTCAGCTCGAAGAAATCCTTCAACAGCTTGCTCAGCTTCACGCTGTCCGCTCCTCCCGTCAAATACCCAACGGATTTCCCCACCACCATCCTCAGGATGACGTTCATCGTTATCTCCCCGAACCAGCTGCCCATCTCCACCGAAACGACGCCGTTTCTTTCGGCGGCGGCCTGCTGCCAGTAGCCGTACAGCTCTTTGGTGGCGGTCCGGACCTCGGATTCGCGCACGTGCTTGAGCAAATCGAGGCGGTGCGAGGAGAGGAGCTCCAGCGTGGCCATCTTCCGGGTTTCTCGCCAGTACGAACCGTAGGGGCTGAACCCGAACATGGACCGGTTGTAACCGAGGAGGTCCATGGCTACGGTTGCGGGTCGGTCGGCGAAGATCCGGTCGTGGGTGGTCAAACACTCCTTGGCGGTCTCCCAGTTGCTGACGACGAGGGCCGGGTGGATGCCCATCCGGATCGTAAAGATTGGGCCGTGCTTTTCGGCCATCTGGCCCAGTACTGTGTGTGGCGGGAGCGGCCCACCGAGGAGGTGGAGGTGGCCGATGATGGGCCACGAGCCGCTGGCCTGCGGCGGCGGCGGGGTTGCTCCATGTTTGGTTAGGAGGAAGTAGAGGAAGGCGAGGGAGGCTAAGGCTAGGATAACTGTGGGGAAAGGAATGGTGGAGAGTAGCCGTACCAAATCCATTTTTTGTTGGGATGATTTTCAAATTTTCTGATCGGCGTATTTATAGAGATAATAGGCCGCGTAAATTTTCTGGTAACGGCAATGAAAATGACAGGTTAAACATTATGTAAATTCAGTGCAATGGATACTGGTCAGACAAGTGGTTGAAGGCTTGAGGTGTATATGTCAATCATTTGACCGTTCTTGGTAACCAATTCGGTTACGGTGGTGAGAGCTAAATTGTGAGAACGTGCTCTTGAGATTGGGCTGGTCATATTAACTCTGTTCCCTGCTCCATCAAACGGTGAAATTTTATTTACAAAATCGTCCAGCCTATATATTTAATTATAAGGGAAGACAGAACCTTTTGAATCTTTCACATGTCACACAAGGTTGTCAAATCGGTTTAGTTTGTTAGTTCGATTGAGTAACACTCTGTTTGGGAAGAGGGGTAAATGGGAGGAGGGTGCAAATGTGAGGGGTAAATACAGTTTCCAACACATTTGCACCTGTTTGGTTAATTTGGAACAGTAGGGGGGTGCAAAACGGGAGTGCAAATTTACTGTTTCGGCTTACCCCCCAAATTGGGGTGCAAGGGAAGGAAGGAAGAGAGGGGGAGGGGGGATTATGGAATTTTGTTTTTCTAATTGTGTTATATATAATTATATAATAATTAATATTATCAATTTCTTCTTTTTATAAATATCATTAATGTAAACATTATTCGGGGTTGACCATTTGACTCGGGAAACAAGTTTATCAATGTTCGTCAAGTCAAATCTAGATCTCTTGGTTGAATCGAATTTGCATTGAAAATTAGAGATACGAGGTGTTTGTGAAAAAGATAGAGAGAAATTGTTTGGTTAACTCAGTTTATTTGAATAAATAGTTAAAACTTACAAATTCGAACGTGTTTGACTAAGTTTGACAATTTAAAATTAAACTAGACACGAAAACCCTATATAGGATGACCAGTTACAAGTTGAGCTTCGAGTTTCGAGATCGCTCGATCAATGATTATACAATTGTCATAATTAATTATTATTTGAGCATTATTATATAATAACTATTTTTAGTAAAGTATATTTATTATTATATAATAATATTTATTTTATTATTTTGTGATAATATTTTAAAATTTTAAAATCTATTTTGTAATCTAAAATTTATTTTTAAAATCTATTTTAAAATAATATAATTACTTACTTTTCACTCTATTTGCACCCCCCTACTTTTTCATCCAAACAACAATTTATCCCTCCACTTACACCCCCCAGCAATTTGCACCCCCCAACAATTTACCCCTCAACTTGCACCCTCCTACAATTTGCACCCCCCTTGTTGCCAAACAGAGCGTAAGTGAGTTGAAGATAGTGATGGAGTCAAGGATTATCCTGGATCACTTTGGCTCGGGGAATAACGAAGTACATATAAATACAACGGTTAATTGTCAATGAGATTGTTTTACCTAAATCTCGTCAATATTTCTACCACCAAATAATAAAGCCATTATGTGTTAGGCATTCTAGTTGTGCATAAATAATATTAGAACAAAATATAACATCATGATTCAAGTCTCAAATTCTTAATTTATTCATCATCATCATCTCTATTGAAACTTGTTTACTACTTTTATCCTAATAACGAATTCTTTGCAAATAATATCTCATGTTTTGAACCTCAACTAGATTGTTTTTTTTTATCAAATGGATGCAGCCGAACCCTACCTTTCATTCAAAACCACCGGGGACTCAGAGAGCCCTTGAACATCATACAAAATCCAGTTGCAAAACATAGGATCGGCAACAGAAAACATATGTAACCCCAAGGGTGCAACATGCCCCCGACTAGCAAGAAAGTCTGCACACTTATTACCCTCCCTATAGATGTGGGTGACAGAGACGTCCCACTCTCTTTTAAGCAGCTCCTGAGATCTATCCAAAACGGCTGCATGGTGATGCTCTCCAGAGTCGGTACTCTGCAGCAGCTGGCAAGCACAAGCAGAATCCAACTCCAGCCTGACGCGACAGAACCCAGCATCCCAAGCTAACTACAGCCCTTCCACATCGCCCCTCAACTCCGCCCGGGTGATAGAGTAAGCACCCTGGTTCATTGTAAATGCCATAAGGCACCTACCAGTAGTATCTCTTAACAGGCCACCAGCTGCGGCGTGACCTGTATCAGTGTGATCGGTCATTGTAAATGCCTACTGGTGGAGGTTGAGGTGGCCGATCGTGAAAAGAGACTAGATGTTGCCTAAAACTGGATAGAATTTCTTAGTTTTTTTTAGAATGGTCAATGTAAGAAATAACTTACCATTGTTGCTAATTAAGCTCCACTGCAAGTGTTGAAAAGACATTTGTAATAAGTCATGTGAATAGTATTCAGTATTTAATAGGTGGCAAAATCATGACTGATTATATAACAGAATATATTGAGATTAATATCATATGAATGTATCTTACAATTTTTCAAAATATGAGAACATTGCAAATGGTTAAAAATTTTCTTAGGGTATTAAAAAATTCGGATCAACATTACATAAAATCATGGCTACGTCACTGGTTGAGGGTCACTTTAGCCCAGTTTAGCTCGGATATATAAAAAATTCTTTATATTGTTCATACATTATAAATTATATCAAATATCATATAACATATGTGTAATAACATATACGATTACACAAAAAATAATAGTACTTGGATCCAACATATAGTGAAAATTCAAACACACTATTTCATTAAGATGGACTCAGCCATAGGCATATCGTTACCCTATAACATTAATATTCAAATGTTAAATTTAGAATCAGAAGATAAGATTAGGCGAATGGAAGAATAAAAAAAATAAATACACAATTCAGAAACCAAAGGGAACAATGATCCCATGTGACCTCAAACCCAGAAACCTTGTTGCGGGTCAACTCGCAGGTTTGTGACCTCTTTTTCTCACCAATTAGGGTCAACCCGCAGGTTGAGTACTTTGGTCACATGTGTCATAAGTTTTAGTAAAGAAAATAAACTCTTGTCTAAGTTTATGTAAGGTGCAAAACTCATTATTTTGAGGTGGGATAAATGTATATATATATATATATATATATATGATCATTACACAAAGGTTAATACCTTAGTTTGGTTTGAACTATATACATACTTTCTACTTTGGCCCGTGGTATTGAAAATTGTTATTCTTGCCTGAACTATGTAGCAAACTTCCTCATTTGGCCCGGAGGCGGGTTTGACCGTCAAATTAGACGGTGAAACCTGTTGAACGTTAGTCAATGTCCACCTCACCTGCCACGTCAGCTTTGAGGACATACAAAATTATTTTTTTTATTTCTGAATTTTATTTTATTTCGATTAATAAAAATAATAAATCAAAAAAATTATTTAAAAGAACGAAAAGGGCCCATTTTTAGCAAATGGCAAGAAAACAAAATTCAAAAATAATAAAAAAAAATATTTTTTATGTCCTCAAAGCTGACGTGGCAGGTGAGGTGGACATTGACTAGCGGTCAACAAGTTTGACCGTCTAATTTAACGGTCAAACCCGCCTCCAGGCCAAATGAGGAAGTTTGCTACATAGTTCAGGCTAGAATAGCAATTTCCAATACCACGGGCCAAAGTAGAAAGTATGTGTATAGTTCGGGCCAAATTAAGGTATTAATCCTTACACAAAAGTTGAATTCTTTTTTTTGTGAGAACACAAAAGTTGAATTCTCGTTATATGTATTAAATATTTGTATATATGTTAAAAAACAATACACGTCTAACTTTAAGTTCTTTAGATATATGATCATTATATCTAAAGACCATCGAGCCTAAGACATCAATTGCAAACACGTTCTCGGTAGGGATGACAATTTTGACCTGACCCGTTTTATCCGACCTGTTTGACTTGTTTTGGGGCGGGCATGGGTAGTCTCATCGACCCGACCTGCCCTGACCCGCCTCATTCTCGACCCATTCTTGTCTAAATCACATGTAATTTTAGTCAAATTACTTAGAATTTTCCTTTTATGGCATCATATTTTAGCTATAATAAAGTTGTAAATTAGTGAAAATCTCAATTTCTCCAATAATTTAACTATAATTGTCATAATATTGTTTGTTTTCTTAGTCTTATAATAAAAATAACGAATATTTCTAATGTTTTCATATAAATTGCATATCCATTGGGTCGACCTGCCCCAACCCACGACCCGTAATTAATTACCCGACCTGCCACGGGGCGGGTCTTGATACCAAGAAACCCGCCCCGGACCTACCCCATTGTCATTCCTAGTTCTCAGCGTTTGGTTCTGAGCACCATAATTTGATTTGCATTTTGCACCTTAAAAAGTTAGGATTTTGCTACGGTGACATGCATGTCACCGTGACATGGACTTTTCGGTCGACCGAATACAACTTGCGGTCGACCGAATGGGCTAATTCACGTATGTTGGGTTCCTGAAGGCGGTCGACCTCTAACAAAATGCGGTCGACCGTTTTGGTGGTCTAACAGAGCAACAGGTCGACCCAAATATCTCATAGGCCGACCCTTGTGCACCTAACAGGTCGACCGCATTGGGAAGAGGTCGACCGCCTTCAGACCGTATCCGTATTGGATATGGATTCCAACACCAGAAAGGTTCCACAATTGGACAAGGAAACGAATTGGGTCGTCCCATTCACGTCCAAATCTCTATAAATACGAATATGAGTCCCCTTAAACGCCACCAAGTCTGAATTAGGTTTTTTTCCGACTTAGAGCCTTTGTGAAGAAGATCGTTCGCGGTTGCTGTTGTACGTGTTGGAAGTGGTCGACCAGGTCTAAGGTGAGGTCGACCTAAAGTAGCATTCACCGTCTTCTTTTTTAATGCGTGATTTCCACCGGCTAACTTGATATATTGTTGGGTGCAGAATCCAATTCGGTCGACCGCGACGTCCACCAGGTCGACCTGACGAGACAATTCTTCGTATTTGAATTTAGGCCACAACACTTGGACTTCTGTACTTGCGAGGTAACCCAATCGGTCGACCTAATGAGTTTCAAGGTCGACCGTATATGTTTTTTTTGGTTATTCAACCTGAATGTCGACTTTGGCTTTGTTT